TTGTGTAGCCACAAACCACATTAGAATCCCCAAATGAGGTGTGGTTTATTCTTAACTATTCTCTATGTACTCCCTTCCTGACCAGGCAACTCGGATATACAATAGGTGCAGCACCAGGAACCCTCTACAATCTCACTGTCCCAAATAATCATATTCATACTATGTACAGAGGTTATTCTTTCTTGCAGTTGCTCAATGCCACATCATTTTAAGCACTATTTTTTCATGTTTAAGGCCCTTCAATCAAGTGGAAAAATGTAGCCTGACATGCTTGGCTGACCATACACTTGTTCTCTCCATCATTAAATAGTTTTACAATTTGAAAAACTTGAGCAAAGTGTGTGCCAGAGGGCTCAGATACCATAGACTACGGAAATTCTTTAATGTATTTTTGGTTTCTCTAACTACGGAGATACTATGGCTGTTATTAGCATCCTTTCATCCACTATTCCCCCTTAATGAGGAGAAAAAGACTCCTTAATACTCTCTTAAATTATTTGCATTTTGAGTGTCAGCACACACCTTGGTCTGAATCCTCTGAAACACGGCCTATTAACCACTAAATGTTTTTCTGTTCAACAGAACTCCTTTTCTAAAACTGGAAAATGGTGGGGCTATTTGTTATATAACACTCCACTTCTGTTGGCATTGTACAGTAATTCATCTACGCAATAAGCTTTTTGTAGTTGTCAGGAACAATGCCTGGATTTGTTAGGACATTTTTTTTTAAAACTTAATTAACACACTATCACTTTAACAGATACGGAAGACTTGTTAAACAACATTAAAGGAAAATGCTTTGTAAAACCTTGATGTCACTCAAAAAAGACCAACCTCCTTTCTAATAATCAGAGAAACAAGAATAAATAAGAGGTTACAGATTTTAATTTTAAAACTGTGATTAGGGTCACTTAAGAACATAAGAAAGGTTACAAACAAGAGGAGATCTACCCAGTGTGGTGTACTTGGAGGTGTTTTTATACTGTAGGTGTACAAAATACCAACAGAGGTCATGTAAGGTGTTACTGTATGTATAACTCTCCTTACATGACCTGCAATTCCAATGATGGAAAAAAGCAAAAACTGGCACCACACACATAAAGTATGAAAACAAAGGAACTGAGGGCTTCAACATTTTGAAAGATAAGGTTTCAGTGAAGAACATAATACATTATGAAACATATACACATTTGAACTTTGATTTAGATTGTGTTTAAAGTAGACACGCTAAACTTAACCAAATGATTTTAACTTTAAAAAACATTTGCTGAACAAATTCCCCGATGGGCGACAATGTATGAACAAGGTCTCACGAAATGAAGCCTGGGAACCTCTTTAAACACGAGGTAAAGGTCTTTCTCCTGACATCTCCCAAGTAATATGGCCTTGAAATTAGTAGATTCCTATCATCTATATATGTGAGCAAGTAAACAAAAGCAGTCTTTCAGAGGTCTAGCTATTCTGGTTAGACTTAATCCTACCCACAATTTAGTCAACATTCTTACACTCCTTACTTTATAGATGAACAACAAATCATTAAGCTAAATTTCATTGTTTACCATTTTCAAATGTCATCTCCATTTTATTTAGAAAATCTCAATGATGCCTTAAAAGGTAAAAAACAAACGTCTGGAAAAGAAATAATAGGCCATGGAAAAATGAGCTGTGCAAACAAGGCTTCAAACAGCTCATGCACAATTTTGAATGCACACAGCAGGAATATTAGAACAACATGATACTGCAAATGTGATTTTGATTTACTTGGGAAAGATTGTTTTAGGCACCACATGGTCTTGACTTCTATGCTTCATGACAAGTGAAACACTTCAAAGTGTAATATAACATTGCATGTTCTTAAAGCCTCATAGAAAGTTCTAAATTTGTCATTACAAGGTACTGTCATTCCCCGTCATGTGTCAGTCCTTGACACACATTTTTGTGACTGTTAGTGCAGTACTTTTGTACAAGAATATTGGACAAAATGATTAGGCTTAAACAAAAATCTTTAAACAAAATAATTAAAATCCCCACTTTAAACTTCATATTCCTCTTGCAAATCCATGCGGATCAGTATTTGTTAAGCCATTTTTGTATTTGGTTTGTTCTGGTTTCTCTGTTTGAAAAGTAAGGGACTCTTTGAATGCAACTCATGAACAGTTGTGGAACAGAACAGTACAGAGGTGAGGGTTAATGACCTTTTACAAGGCTGTCTCCAACAAGCCCATCCAGACAAGAGAACAAATATTACAATTTATGACCTGTAACAAATGCTTAAAATGCTCTAGCACCAATTGGAATTATACCTAATTCATCTGTCACAGAGTATTAGCCTTTGCCCCCCAGTCCAAACTATGACCTCGATTTAGCAGGGTTAGAAATCTGCAGTGTCATTTTTGAGTTCCAGAATTATTTGTCTTCGTTCAACAGTTTGTTTACCAAAACAGTGTCATTTTAAGGGTGGTAGGCAGATGCTTTAAAATTGCAATATTTTATGTGTATACACAATTTGAGACTGTAATGAATATTGAAAACAGAAAACAAGTTAAAGAAAACTGATCAGTGATAAATCCGTCCTGAATGTAGAAAATGGCTTAGGTTTCAAGTTTCCATTGAGGTGAGTATAGAAAAGTTTTCATTGTGAGGCTGTACACTTGACTTCACTCACTGCTGAAACATGCTGAAGTTTTTTTTTTAATATTTTTGAGGACAAAAATAATCATGCTTAACATCTTTATGTTTTTCAAAGCAGTCAGTTATAATGTTCCATGTGACTTGAATTAATCCTTTTTTCCTCTCAAGAAAGGCCATTTGGAGTTCATGTTTTTATAATCCTCTATTTTGGAGCACTTTTATTTCAAGTTATAATTGTAACTGATTAACAAAACATAACTTTTCAAAATTATTATGCACTATTAAAAAATAGTTTAGGACCAAAACTCACTTATCATTGTTTTAATGCTGTAATACTAAAACTCTTTAGAAATAATGTCAGTTCAAAACAAAATTACATTCACAACTAATTTGAAAATAGCTTTGTTTTAAGGGGGTTTATAATAGTGAGAAGCCCAATTTATTAATGTATTAATTATGTATGTACATAGTAACACAGCATATTTGTTAAAATGTTCCGTTATCTTTAATACAACTACATAAACTCTAAATTACTCTGCATAATAGCTATTAAGCTTCCAAATTGTTGCAATATGAATTTAAAATCTGACATATATACATTTAGAATCTACTCCAAAAAACTACAAAATGATGTTATATGGATACAAGAAAGATTTAAAAAAAGATTGTCAATTTCATAAGTATTCAAACTTTTTGCTACAGCAACCTAAATCAGTTCAGGTGCAGTTTGAAGGGTCACAAAATTAGTATAATGGTCTCCATCTGTGTGGAATCAAAGTAGTTTAACTTGACTTCAGAGTAAATGCATCTGTCTTGAAGTTCCTTCAAATATTGAATTTCAAGTTAGAGTTCAAATAGTGATACAACGCATCAACTATGAAGACCAAGGAGATTTCAAAACAAGTCACAGAGAAAGTGGTAGACGGGCACAGATCAGGAGAAGGTTACTTATCCCCCGAGTACAATCAACAAGAAGTGAATCATGCAGCATACCACCTAGACTACTTGGATACTAGGCTACCTTTCCAAACTGAGCAGTAGGATTAGGAGCAAACGTATTAGAGATGCCACTGCTAGCCAACTGTGCCACCGATACATTTGGAAAGTATATGGGAGTCATTAGCTTTTGAAAATTTCAAGATGGGAGTCTCATCATCCAAAAAATGAGTTAACAAAAATCATAAACCCTACAGAAAGATGACCTGTATGAATGAGTGGCAAGAATGAAGCCTTTACTGAAAAAGACTGATCTTCAGTCTTGTGTCTGCTTTATTGCCAATGTGGTAGGAAGGTTTTATGGTCAGACAACAAATTGAAACTTTTGGTCTAAATGCAAAGCATCACACCTGCAGCAATCACAACACAGCACATCACCCAATCAATCAGTACCATGTAATGGGGATGCTTCTCATCAATACGAACTCGGAAGCTGTCCTGATTGAGAAAAAAAAAGATGCGGTTTCTTTCTAGGTGAATCATAGAACAAAACCTGCTTGAATCGCCAAAAAATCTGAAATGGATCTAGAACAAACTTGGAGCATTAGGCCCAAGTCACACTCAAATGGTTATATGAGAAACACAAGAGTAAGTGTCCCTGAGTGGTCCAGTTAAAGTCCTGTCCTGAATCCAATAGAAAATGTTTGGCCAGGTTTCACAATTTCAGCTACTGGCAACAAACTTGTCAAAATTGGAAAAATGTTCTGGGATAAATAGCCAAAAATGACACCATTCCACTGCACAAACCAAATGTAAAAGTCTATGTAGAAAAATAGTAAGAACTGCAGCCAAAGGCACTTTAACCAAGAACAGACACAGAGTGAATACTTATGGAATCAGTACATCTACATTTTGCACATCTTAGAAGGTTTTTCCAACTTTCGGTTGTCTATTAAAGTATAGTATGACTATACTGAACTAAGACTATACTAAAAATAGTATGACTTTTAAAGAGAGAAGAAATTCTACACCTCACTCCTGTTCCGTACTCTTTATAGTAGAGTAAAACTGGTATACATTGTTGGGGGAAAAATACTGAAGAACAAGTCCATATGTGCCCAATATTCATTCTATTTTTAAAAAGTCTATTTATTTTATGAAGTGTGCTTTATGTCAAATCATCTACAAATGTTAAAATACAAAGAATTAAATAGAAAACTAAGTTTCAGAAAAAGGCATTTCAAACAGGCTAGTTTTAAACGTATCCAAGCAGTCAAGTGTCCTTAATTCTTCTGGGAAAGGATGTGTGAAGTACGAACACACAAAAGATGTGTTGGCAATATTGGAGTTCATTTGCTACTGGCTAAGCAGGCAAAGTGAAAACAAAGCAACTTCCTGGAATCAATCACAAGCTTTATGAGGGGCTGCCTTACCAAACTCACTGGCACACATGTGTTCCAGGATGGCGTCTGTTTTCATTTCATTGTCACATGGCGGGCAGATGCCAGAGTCTGCAACAAAAAGGCAAGACATTGTTAAAGATTCAAAATGTGAAATGTGTGTGTATGTATATATATAATTTTTTGTGCAAAAGGTCAATGTTTATGGACAAGAAATGGTAAAAACAACAGAATTAACTGAAATATTTTAGTATATTCTTCCACATTACTGGGCAGAAGGGTGGTTTACGCTGTCTCACAGCTAATAGGCCTTGGGTTCAACAATAGTCATTGGGACCTTTCAGAATGGAGTTAAGTTTGTTTCTTCTTCCAAGGTTTTCCTCCTAATTCCATACTGTATAAGTGTGCAGTTGAGGTCTGCCAACTATAGATGAAAACTAATTCATTGCTAAATCTGGGTGCAGTGCATCTTATGACATGCTACATCTGCTAATCTGCATGTTATCTCAAATGTAAAGTTGTGAAAAATTATTCTCCACATACATTTATCTTTAAAAATAACTAGTAACATTCTTATAATGTGGATTTCAGTTTATTTAATGAGAAACATCCTGAACATGTGAACAAGTTTTTCCTACATTGTTACTATACAAATGTATGATCTTGACCTGCAATTACTACTATTTTTCTATAGTTTTTTTGCACAGTGAGAAAGCTTACACTAAGGTTACCGTATAGAAAACTGAATTGTGGGACACGATTCCAGACACAATGAGGCCTTCATAAGACCTAATAAGTCAGGTAAAAAGAACGATACTGAAAGGAGAATAATCCAAGGCGGTTATTCATCTCAATACTAAACTACCAAAAAAAGACATTCAACAGCATGTTTAGGATTAAGGAATGCTTCCCCAGGTGACTCAATCCAAAAGTTATAACCATTTCCTACATATACAGTATATGGAAACAAGATGCTTGCAATTCTTAAAGTGGCATAGGGTGATTCATGGCTTTGCAGTCATACAAAAAACCCTATAGTAAACCTAACAGAGATGAATGTCACCACCAACCTTGAAAAACAAGAGACATTGGGAAAAGAATCAGCCCTGTGCACGTCTGCATGATTGGCAGATTACATTAGTACAACAAAAATGCTTCAACCATTTTGAAACATTTTTTGTATTTATTTAATATGTACCCAGTTTGGAAACTGAAAATTATTTACATCTCAGCTCACAGCACTGCAGGGGGAGAAAAAGGCAGACCTCCTTAAAGCAGTCCGTCAAAAGATAAGGCACCCTGGAGGAGAGGAAGAAATATTTGGAAGAGTACAACATCTGTCACCAAGATCACTGGAAGATCTCAGGTTCCATCTTCCAGAGGGATGAGAGAGCTCTAATTGACTTACCGCAGTCTTACCACTGGCACTGCACTGCCAGCTATGCACCATAGCTTAGTCTGCTGGTAACAGGACCCAGGATCGAGTACGAGCTCAACACACAGTGATGGCATTTAGTGTTTGGGCTACTCACTAGTCCTTCACAAAAAATGCATTTAAAATAAACTGTGTGAATGTATCATGCTAGTTTTTATTGGAATATTTTGTTTAGATTGAACTTTTTCTCTCAAAAGGACTGTATTTTGATTGTGGAACTGATATTTTATTTACATAAATTAAAAAAAGCAAAAAGGTGTAACTAAAAACAATGGAAAAAGTAGCAGGTAGGTCAGGTCTCCTGAACTAAAGAAAGAACTAGCTGGAGGTGCTTCTCTAAGTTTCTGAATGGCTGGCTGTATGTCAATAAGAATGAGGCACTTCTATACACAATTTCAGACAGAGCTCCAGATAGGACAGGCAACTGCCTGTCTTGCCACAACCTTTATGTGAAGCCCTACTTAAAGACATCCATGTTATATTCTGTTGCTACAGCACAAGTATTGTTCAGGAAACACAGTGGTGCTGACAACAAGCCCTATAAAAACTTTCGCAAAAAGCATTAGAAAAACAATAACTCCAAAAACCCTTTCACGCTCCAGAAGTCTATATCAATCTCATTTAAACATACTTCAAATCAAACATTATTATTCTAACTTGTTTGTGCTGTTGCCTTAGCTGTTGAAAACAAGTATTTGAACTACAAGAAATCAATCTTAGTTTTAAGAGCCGATCCAGACTTATTTATGATTTGTGTGCTGTAATGTTGAGTCTGCACACAGAAGAACGTTTGGGAAGTGATCAAGACATTGTGTAAAGTATACGTTTATAATTTCACTGCCAAGTTACTAAAAGGCTGCCAAATTGTCATCCTGCTCCACAATTATCATTACTTGAAACAGCAGTAATGGTAGAAATAGTTTCTTAATGTAATCAAATAATACAAAAACAGTGATAATTAAACTCCGCTCATGTGATAATTTAATGATGATTGGATCTCGTCCCATTTCTTTATACATGCTAGGAATGAACACAGCAAAGGTACAATAGTGTGCTGCCTGGACATAACCACAGTAGGAAATGTACATGGATGGCTTTGCTTTATATTCACACCCAATCAAAACTACAGAGACCATGGGTTGTTGTAACAGGTTTTACATACAAAAATATATTGTAACTTATTGGGGAAAATTGGAATAGAGAGAACTAACACTAGTCTCTTTTCTGACCTCCCAGTTCTTGTCTGCGTATTACAAACAATATGTAAACTTCAAAGAACCCCCTTGACGTAATTTATGCATAATTTACGCAAGTTACTTGAAAATAAAATTATAGCTGTAGCAAAGCTAAGATTCTAGTGACTTTAGCACTGAAGTGGAGTTTGAGGAATAGACCTTTCAGAAAAGGCTTTCACCCTCACTAGGTTACCAGAATTGTTTGCATTACAGAGCCAAGATCTGAGAAATCGTTCTGACCACCACCATGAGGCTTTCATTTCCTTTCTAATCATAAAAAAACAAGACAAGAACAAAATCCATAAGTATTTGTTAGATGCATATCCCAGAGGATTCTATCATTTTGTTCCTGACACATAATAAAAGATAATCAAATAAAGAAATTCAGGTAATAAAGAGTCTAATAAACACCACATTCCTGTTTGCACTTTGTAGTTACCATTTTACAAAATAAGGAGATATTCTACAATGGCAGAGACTTTCATCCAACAGAGCAATTTTTCCCCCAACTCTCCACACTGGTTTTTCTGGTTAATTTCGAATTAATATAAATGATCAACTTAACTAAAATATGGGTAGATGACATTTTGTAATGAAGTTAAAAAAAGAGACGAATTTGCAAAGCCTGACTGTTTTATAAGGACATAAGCGTTTTCAAATACCAAGATGTTAAAAGAGTTTTATTGGAAAATTATATTCAGGGGAAGTTCCAAATCTTCCCCCCCCCCAGATAAAATTTTCCATATCAAATAAGATTTCTGAAATGATATTTAAGTGATGACTAAAAAAAGCTTGATTTCTTACTCGCATGTTGTTTCAAATGTTTTAAACTCTAAAATAGTCACAATTCTTTCCAGAAGCAGAGAGCAGACTCTCCAGGGCAAAAGGCCGGAAAAATCACTATGCCTTCTTATCATCAAGGGCCAGAACCCAGATCCCTGACCTTGCTGTGGAATTTGCTTGTTTTTATGACATGTCATAATGTCATGGCCCGCAGTGCAACAATACATTCTGCTATCTAGCTGGCTGACCAATGGGGAATGCAAGTGTGCCTTATCTGACAAGGAGAATCCCCCCTTTGAAGCTATAAAACATCACAGTGCTTTTTCAGTTGACTTACGGAACACAAATTGTGTTAAACTGACCAGATATAAGCCTTGTGCATGACTTTACCCTGTCATACAGGGCCTGATGCAGAAAGCTACCAGCCATAAATTGTTTCCTTTGAAAAGACTTAGAATGGTATATGGAAAAATCACATGATGATGATGATGTTTGCTCCACATTAAACGCAGATTGATCTTGCCTTGTCTAGTGTGATGCAGTATTACATTTCCCATAGCAATTGCACAGTTCTACCTTGAACCCCCTTTTTAATGATCAGTTAAAACTTTGGATCCATGCAAATATTTTTTGCATAATGAAACAAAACTCATCTATATTTTAAAATAAAGAAAATCAGAAAGAACTCCTTCCATCACAGTTCATTACATTTCATGTCATAATTATCTTTTTGGCGTCAAGTCAAACAACTCAAGTGTCCTGTCTGGCTGACTTACCAATGAGGAGTTAAAGTAAATGCATGAGGCTATATATCTGAAGTCCCCCGACTGATCAAAAATTGGCTTAAGTGGAATGTGCAAACAGTTTATTTTCTTGGCAACCTGTACAACAGCTTTCCATTAACCTACACAGTTGCTTTATTAAAGAACAGCTTCCTATCCACACAGAAAAATAAGTGTCCTTTAACATCCTTAAGTAATGAAATTTCACAGCATTTCTACACCAATAAATGTACGTTTGTGCATAACAATCTGAATCGGGCCCTGTATGAGGCACAGAGCTAGGCTAACAGACATACCTGTCACAAAGTGGAGCAGGTATAAACATCTTGTCACAGCTCTGATTGATCATACATCAGATGTGACGGATTTTAATATGGTGGGGTATGGATATGTTTTTAATATTTCACAATACATCTGCCACAAAATCTAAAACAGAAAGTCAAAGAGAAAAACAGCATTTGACATCTGCACCCCAGGCTGCTTTCATCATTAGGAACAATTCAAAGAATGGCAAATTATGAATGAACAAACCATTCAGGAATATTAATATTTTGGTCAAACAAAACCACAGAGTGCACTTTACACTTCAGTAGGCTGAAAAACACAATCAATAAAATTCAGACAAAGGTCTATTTTCAAAAACAGAGAATATACTCAGATGCTTCTGAATCGAGATAGGAATGTTTAGAGAATTTCAGCTGAAATGGAATCCAAGCAGTGCTTTAATGGATTAACCCGCTCCAGGGGACCAGATACAAATGCTTTTGATGTTACCTGGAAAACCGTTGGAGGAGCTTCAGTTGAAAAGTTAGTCAGAAACATATGTCTACATTTAATTGTTGGATGTTTCGCTCCAGGATCTGGACAGCTGATTGT